AATTATTCTGTCTCATTATATTTTGGTGTATGAGATTCTTGRCCAAGCCACATGTTTTCTAATCTTTTTCGTCATAAATGATTTGGTGATTTCCTGGATTCTGAAATTGGGGCCTGAAGTATTAAATTATAAGAAAACCAAAAAATGKAAGTTTTTGAAAGCATGCCTTCTAACAAAGAAATTGTTGATAATTGAAACTGCTTTAAATGCAGATAGTTGGTGATTTTGTTCAGAAGGGTTTTTTTGAAGTTTACCCTACTGCAATATTGTTAGGCTGTGTGCAAAACTCCAATAGCAAGACCTGTTTCATAAGCAGCTCTAAACAGTATTTTGTTTCTTTTCTGTTYATAGCCTTTGCCTTAATTCATTATCTATGGTAGGGCTGTGTGTATGTATTACAGATTTGTTGGGACTTCTTACTGACAGTAAATTAAAGATGCAYAGCATGTAGTTTTAAGAGATGTTGCTTTTTAAAAAAACCAATTTTTCACCATCTCCACAATACATGCAGGCAGATGTATTTCCATACAGAATGCACACTCATCTCTGTTCTGGCTGCTAGATCAGAGTTTGGATTCTGGGTTTAGAGGTATGTTCACAGAAAAAAAAATATTTTTTTTTTTTTGGTGGAAAGTCAGGATGTGATTTCTGCATGCTTTTTTGTAATTTGTTTTTCCACAATGCCTTCAGTAGACGGACTATTTGAAAGTTTAGTTAAAATTAGTGCAACTTGAGCTCTTCAGTTCATGAGGTGTTCTGCTTAGTGTTCATAGGGAATAAGGCAGGAAGTGTGCAACGTTCATTGATGTCACAGTCATTCAATGACAACAGATGGTTTGTGTCTAAAACACAGGTTTTCAGTTAAAATAACAATCATTAATAATTTAATGAGTTTTTCAGTAACTTTGACATGTATAGACTAAATGGGAAGTGGAAGGAAAGGAATTCCCTGGACAAATAGAGATGATAAGTGTTTTTTTACTTAATTCTGTCAGAATCATCCTGTGTGGATGTACTGGGAGATAAAAATAAGGAATTGAAAGAACAGGTTAAATGAGTCAARCCAAAGCAAGTGTGGAGTAGCTGTAATTCTGAGCAGGCTGTGGCACAGGAGTGCTGCTCATGCCCTGAAGCCAACAAATTCTTCACACTGCTCTAAATGTGCACTGTAAAAAATGTGAGAAGTGAAACCATTTATGATAAACGACAAACTACTGAAGCTGTACTGTCTGTTCAACAGGATACTCCTGTGTCTGTAAGCTTCCTGCAGTGTTTTGTTCAATTCTGGAAGAGAGCTCTTTGGTGAGCAAATGGGAAAAGTGGATACATGAAGAAACTTCTGACGTGGCAGTTTTGCTAATATTGTTTAGAAGTAATGCTGGAGTTGTCAGACTTCAGTCAGTTAATGCTGCTTTTACCAGGTTTCAACATGTGACTGACTCCTGATTTTGTGCTTTATTTTATCTATGCATGATTAGATAGCTCTGAATTGTTTTGTGCTTTACCAGTTTAGCTTTGTGTTTTATTTMCACAACTGTGAGCAACATATTGCAAAAAAGTTGGTGTTTTAGATGTTTGCTTTGATTCCCCCAACTGTCCTAATGAGTATCCTATTTCAGTTGTTTTATCTTTTGTGTGATGCCATTTTCTCAAACTACATTCTTTACCGATAATTTTACGTAAATAATTTTGCATTCTGTCATGATAAAACCTCTTATATTTTGTAAAATGCATCCAGAAATAATGAATTTTATAAAAATTCATGGCTTAGGTGCTAGAAGCATCTACTCCATGATACGATGCGAGACATTGCTATGTACATTTATCTTTGTGAATTACAGAGACTTGTGTATATACTCATACCCAATTCAGCTTGTTTATTGTTTTAGCACAGAAAATTCTCTTGTACTGGAATACAATGTTTGGTTGAGAGCAATGTATTGAAGTTACTGTTTGGGTTCTGAAGGCACAAGAAAAATGGTTAAGCAGAAGAAAGTTCAATTTACTTGAATAACCTGGTGCCTTTCTATATTGACTGCATTGTAGAAAACACRTGTACAAACACTTAAGTACATTGCATTCTTTCTAGTGGGAGCATGGACTGAGAACAGTTCTTGTTAAAATAACTGTTTACTTTAAATAGGTGTGTACGGCTCTGTAGGAAAACAGTGACTCTTCCATTAGTAAATGTAAGATTAAATCTGTCACTGTATTTGCATTGGAAGGGCAAGTTAAAAATGTGATTGTYTTAAGAGCTTTCTAGCTTTCTATTTTATACTTTGAAAATACAAATGTGAATTGCCTTTGTTTTGTTTAGCTTGAAATAGCTGTTACATGCTGTCATTTTCAGTTGTTCACATGTGAAATTTTATTAATTGTTACCCAAAATGCAATGGGTTTAATATGACTAGAGTCTTCCTTTTAAGTGTCTGAAATACTAAGTTGCTATGATAGTATTTATATTGCTGATCCATTTAATCTCTGCATAAATTGATTAGAATCCTTATTTTAAATTTGTGATRATTGAGTTCACAAGGTTAACAAAATTCTGGGGCTAGTAAGAAGAAACACATTACAAGGTTTCTATAAGCCTGCCTTAACTCTCATAATTCCATGTTTAAAATCATTTTACCTGATGGCTATAGGTGGTCTTGAGACCTGAACAGAACTGTCTCAACTCAGGTAGATTGATAACAGAGCATAGGAGTAAATCCAGCTGTGTAATGTTTACCTGCTCCCATCTTYCCTAGGGCCCCAGGCTGAAATGCTGAGTTTTCTTTAAATGGATTTAATTGCTTTAAAAGCAAAAACAAACCCCAAGATTGCATTTTTTGTGGCATTAAAGGCAGAGTTCTTAAAACTTGCTTGTTAGGCATCAGAAGGTCATTTTCTGCCGTGTCTGGGGAATGGTTAATGAGAGTTACTTGAAGGAGATCATAAAAGATCGTAACAAAGAGAGACTGATTTCTCAGTATTCACCTKAGAAGACTGTAAATAGAGGGAGTTCTTGAATTTCCTTGCTTTCCTAAAGAAAAGCTTTTCCTCTACTGTGTGGAAACCTGCCTCTTGCCTTTCTTGAAGCATCTGAACAGCAGTCTGCAAAGTTCTTTATGGGAGGGCTCTCTAAAAGAAGGACTTCAGACTTGTGTCCTAATGAATCTAAAAAAAAAAAAAAATAAGAAAAGATGTTCCTGCACACAACTCTGACCCTTGACAGACTTCATTCCGTTGCTGCAGAATTTGAAGATAAGAAGTTCTTCAGCCTTTTTCAAAGGAAAGAAAGAATAAAAGCCATTTCAAGATCTTTGAAAGCCTCCTTGTAACAGTTRACTCCCTAAGAGACCTTAAGGATARCCAYGAACATTTGAATGTGTTCTTTTTGGAGCTTTGTGAGCATTATTTTTCAGTGTCAAGATCAGAGAAAACAGCACCTGTTCCTTCCTGCCGTGCCTGATGGGTTGTGGTGGAGGGATTTGGAGTAGGTATTTAGCCACGTGGTTTAATAGCCTTCCACTTTTAATAACAGTTTTTTTCTGTTCACTGTTCATTGTTCTGAATTTTGTCTAGGTAGCTTCAATCTCATGTTGTCTTTTTAATATTTCATTTTCTGTAAATAATGTAGTAGATGGCTTTCATTTTATGACTGGCTTCTCACATCTTTAGTATTGAGGGGAAGAGACAGGGTGGAAACAGTTGTTCGAGTATGTTCTTCAAGAAATTAAAAAAAAAAAGCCTCATTGTTTTGTTTTAAGAATAGCAGGAATTTTTTACTCCCASCTGAATGAGGGCAACTAATGTCCACTTCTAAAGAATAGATTGTTGATGTTATTTATACTGTAGTTTCTCAAGGACTGTCTAATGTGTGTATGTGTACATGTATGTGCACATGGAAGCACACTGTTAGAGAAGCCTATAATGTAATTATTTSTAAGTGTGGGTAAGAAATGACATTTTTAAACTACTGAAGCTGAAGTTAAAATGCAAATACATTTTAAGTCTGTTGTCTTCGAGTCCACAACGGTGCTTTTGACAATGTTACTCCRTATCTAAAAGCCTCGTTCATAGGTATATACAGTAAGATGTAGGTATGTTTATATGTATGTTTAACATAGTTTATATAAAATAAATGTAAATTTTGTTTCTACAGACAATAAATGTTTTCCAAAAAAAAAATGACTTATAAATAATTCAGTGATTTGATTCAGTAATTATTAATGTCTGGTGTAATTTTCAGGGTAAAAAAGCTTTTCTAAAAATCTGTTGTGTAGGGAGTGGAAAAGTGCAAGAATGTTATACTTCGTTAGAGGCAATTTTCTGTTTCGACACATAAATTAACTGAGGTTAGAACAGGCTCCTTTTGCTTACCCTTTCATTGATAGTCAAGGTGCTCTTGCTGTAAAATGTTACCTATACTTTATCTTTTRTACCAGCTTTTGCTTTCTTTTTCATCTCCACTTTTCCTCTGCTTCTACAGTAGGATTTTTCCAGCTCTTAACCTGTGGGCAGACGTGTCTGTGCAGAAGCCTCCCCCCTCCTCCGGTGCTTTTCTGTCCAGACATGCTGGCAMTTATCTGTGCCCACTGTTCCTGTAGCGGGGGTTTCGCATCTTCCCGCAGTAACAGCCATCCGTGCTCCTGTGCGGCGCTGCTCTTTTTAGTGAAACATCGACACTCCCTCCAAGCCGCTCTTTTTGTCTTCCTTCCCTGCTCTGCCCCAGCCCTGTAGCGGTGTGTGTGTGGGGCAGGTGGGCCGGGCAGAGACGCGGCGTTGTCCGTGCATTTCCCCGTGTTCTGAAAGGAGAAGGAGGGCAGGGCCGGGCACGGCTCTCGGGGCAGGTGCGGGGCAGCACCRCACGCTCACGGTCACGGTCCGCCCCTGTCCCGCCGCCCGGGAGCGCTCTCCATCCTCCAGCGCCCAGCCAGGACGCGCCCCTTCCCTTCCTTCCTTCCCTTCCCCGTGTCCGAGCAGTCCTGCCCCGAGAGGAAGGGAGGGAGCCACCCCGTTCCCCCGGCGCTGCTCCGCTCCCGGCCGCCCCTGCCCCCGCCGGGACCGCGGCTCCGCTTCCGTCCGCCCTCCCCGCCCTCCTCTCAGCCGGCCCGAGGCGGCGCACAGCTCTGGCGCAGTCTCGCGACACTTCCCGCAGCGCCGAGCCGGAGCCGACGCTCGCCCCGGCAGCAGCAGCGGCAGCCGCGGCGATCGCTGCCCGCGGCTGGGAGCCCGAGCCGCTCCCGCGCCCTCGCCCCGCCGCGCCGCGCTCCCCGCCCGCCCCTCCCGCGCCTCGGCGGCACAGGCTCCTCCAGGCTCTTTCCCGGCGGCAGCGGGGACCCAGGTGGCTGCAGGAGCTGAAGGCTGAGCCCCTTCTCTCGCCTGATTTCTGTATATTCCCTTTTTCTCACACACTGAGGCTGAGGGAGCCGCGGCGCAGGGCTCAGGATGCAGCCGGGCTGCGGCGGCTGCTGAGCTGAGCGCGGCGGCCGCCGGAGGAGGGAGCGGCTCTGTCAGCGCCTCCGCTCCGCGCGGCTGTGGCGGCTCGGGCGCTCCCTCGCCCCCTTCCTTCGCCGTGGCCACCCGCCCCAAACTTTCAGCCTGTTCTCGCTGCCAGGCGAAGCCCAGCTCGACATAAATGGGTGAGTTGAGGCCGCCGAGGTGGCGGTGCCGGGGGTGGGCTGGGGCTCCGGGCTAGCCGGTGGGGTGCATGTGGCTGGAGGCGGCGGGAGGGAGGGAGAGAGGGAGGTGGCCGCCACCGGCCTCAGCTCCTCCGCCTCACAGCTTTTAACTTCTCCTGCCCTCCCCTCCCCCGACCGAGGCAATAATTATTTTCATGTGACAGGCGGAGAGATCGGGGTTGGCGGCGGCGGGGCGACAGCCGGGTGCTCCTCGGGGCTGCCGCGGTGGGTGCTCCCGAGAGGGGCTGACATTGTTTTGAGCCCTCCCGTGCATCGGCTGCTCGGCCTCGCCGCCTTCCCGCCGGGCACAGCCCTCCCCGGGCACTCTGGGGTGTGGTGGCGCCGGGCCGGGCCGGGCCGGGC